CCACCAACTAAGAACGGCCATGCACCACCACCCATAGAATCAAGAAAGAGCTCTCAATCTGTCAATCCTTGCTATGTCTGGACCTGGTGAGTTTCCCCGCGTTTAGTCAAATTAAGCCGCAGGCTCCACGCCTGGTGGTGCCCTTCCATCAATTCCTTTAATTTTCAGCCTTGCGACCGTACTCCCCCCGGAACCCGTAAACTTTGATTTCTCACAAGGTGCTGGCAGAGTCATCCAATAGACATCCGCCAATCCCTTGTCGGCATCGTTTATGGTTGAGACTAAGACGGTATCTGATCATCTTCGATCCCTCAACTTTCGTTCTTGATTAATGAGAAYGTCCTTGGCAAATGCTTTCGCAGAAGTTCGTCATCCATAAATCCAAGAATTTCACCTCTGACAATGGAATACGAATGCCTCCAACCGTCTCTATTAATCATTACTCCAATCCCGAAGACCAACGAAATAGGACCARAGTCCTATCGCGTTATTCCATGCTTATATGTTCAAAGCACAGGACTGCTTTGAACACTCTAATTTTTTCAAAGTAACAGCGCCGGCTCTGGATCCCAGCCAATAAAGGCAAGGAACRCATACCCGGCAAGAAAGGCGAAAGGGCCAGTACACGCCCGCAAGAGCGAACCAACCCCTCCCACCCAAAATCCAACTACGAGCCTTTTAACTGCAACAACTTAAATATWCGCTATTGGAGCTGGAATTACCGCGGCTGCTGGCACCAGACTTGCCCTCCAATGGATCCTCGTTCAAGGAGTTTACGACTGTTCTCATTCCAATTACCGGACTCGAAAGAGCCCAGTRTTGTTATTTATTGTCACTACCTCCCTATGTCAGGATTGGGTAATTTACGCGCCTGCTGCCTTCCTTGGATGTGGTAGCCATCTCTCAGGCTCCCTCTCCGTAATCGAACCCTAATTCTCCTTCACCCGTTACCACCATGGTAGGCCTCTATCCTACCATCGAAAGTTGATAGGGCAGAAATTTGAATGGAACATCGCCRGCTCAAAGGCCATGCGATTCGACAAGTCACCATGATTCGCCGCAACAATGGGCAAGCCCGGATTGGCCTTTTATCCAATAAATACATCCCTCCCAGAAGTAGGGATATGCTGCACGTATTAGCTCTAGAATTACCACGGTTATCCGAGTGGTAAGGAGACCACCAAATAAATGATAACTGATTTAATNTCTAGAATTACCACGGTTATCCGAGTGGTAAGGAGACCACCAAATAAATGATAACTGATTTAATGAGCCATTCGCAGTTTTTTTTTTTTTTTTTTTTTCACACACACACACTGCCCCTTCTATTCTGGGGGGCACCAGTCCGGTTGCTTATCACCGCCAAGGAAAAAGAATTATAGTGAATTAGGGAAGGTGCTAGAAAAGCATAGAGGAGAAGGCCTTCCCTGCGTGGCCCGAGACACCAAACAGCAGGGGACTGGGGCAGCGGTGGCCGTCCACGATGGCGGGAGGGATGCCGGGGCGGGGCATGACGGGCGGGAAACATCCAGATGGTACCCGGACCCCCTCATGGCTTGTTTCCGCCTTCCACTCCCCCGTGAGAGGGTCATTCCCGCTCGCCATTCGCAGTTTCACAGTGCAAAGTGTTCACACTTAGACGTACATGGCTTAGTCTTTGAGACAAGCATATGACTACTGGCAGGATCAACTAGGTAGCGGGTGTGACGAGCAGCCGCAAGGAGCGATGGCCGAGGCGCACGTAGGCACGTCACGCCGGACAGCCTACCAAAAGAACGTCGAACAATCGTGGAACGTGCAATGAGCTGCCGAGACGCCGCGAAGTCCAGCTGTTTGAATTGCTGGTGAACTTCCCTCCGTAGGCCATCTCCAACGGCAAGGTACCGCACAATTTAACACAGCCCGGCGCACCCGCCCAAGAGATTGGCTGCGAACAACACCCGCCCACACCACACCTTGAGATCGCAAGTTAACCACACTACCCGAACAACGGCGCGCCGGAAGGAACCACCGACAACTTCGGCCCACAGCCGGATGCCACCGCCCGCCCAAAACATACCGACAGCGAAGTGCACAGCCTCGTCTCTCCATCGAGAAACGCGGGTGAAGAGAGAAACGAATGCACAACGCTTCCAACACGCTCGGACGGACGGAAAGCCTCCACCTGTGCACCGGGGCGCAAAAGGAACACAACCCCTCTCCCCCCTGGGTCCACATCAGCCGGTTGCCGCGGGCACCACCAACAGCACTCGACGCAGGCGAAACCCAGGAGACAGAGGACAGTAGCCTTCGAAGCCCACAACCTAAACGCAGCGGAACCACGATGCAACGCGATCCGTCACGGTGTGCAGCATACCGAGACCACAGGATGGGGGACACGACGGGCACTAGCGCGCATTCCAAAAAGTCGGGCGGATGACGGGCTTAGCCTCGCGACACCGTCGGAGGGTGCATCACGCATCCCACAAGTCTCCGCCCTCGCGTACGGTGGTAAGCAGCGCATGCATGGCCGAGGCCACATGCGCCACCGCTCAATGGCGCCGCTCGGATGACAAAGAGCGCAGAGCGTCCTCACCAAGTTGTGACACCCCCTCAACACAAACGGAACGCATCGTTGTGAGTACGGACACGACGAGGACACCACAACAGAGCCGCAACAGCTCTCCCCGTAACCTACGGGATGATGGTGCCGAAACTGAGAGCCGGTGACGGGCACCTCCGCCTCCACACCTTGCAAACGACCGCCAACCGAACCGCCGTCGGTGATCAGGCGCCAATCATTACAAGACGATGAGCGAGGGTGAACGCAACGATCCACAACCCGGCACCACGACATAGGAAAGCCCCGTCAGCCGCGACCGCCGCCAACGACGACCGAGCTGTCGTGAAATAAGCCCTCCGAGAGAGAGGACCATGGACCCGAACGGCGCCGCAAAAATGTTCGCTCGACCACCAAAGCAGGACTCGCCCGTCCCTCGCAAACTGGAAACCACCCAAAGCGTGTGCAGAGAGTCCCCCGTAACTCGAGTACAAGGTCCCAAAACCCACGCCCGGAACGTCGCCTTCGTCGACTGCAAGGGGGCTGATAAGCACGCAGGCCCCTATAAGAGTGCAAACGGGACTCCGAACCGCCAACCACCGACTGTTTGGCACATCCGGAGGGTGCTCACTGAGCCATCCG